CCCCAAAACCCCAAAACCCCAAAACCCCAAAACCCCAAAACCCCAAAACCCCTTGTAAAAACTCTAAGATTGCAGATTAAAAAATATTTCGATAAATAATATAAAGCCAATAGAGATGTTGCCTCCAGTCAAATGTATAGATGAAGATGGTGAAATAAGCCCGAAACATAGCACGCTTCGTGAAACGAAGCCGATAAGGAGGTAAGCCTTCCAGGCTTATTTTAGGAAGTACAAGATGGATATTGAAATCAAGCCCAAACTTAACCAAAGAGTTTTATCTAATAACCAAAGGCATCTTAGTAATTTACGTATGAGGAAGAACATGAGTGTGGAGTACAGGCATCTGCCTGATCCTGACTATCACCCTCCTAAGGGAGATGATCTTTATGTCTGTGTAGATGCTGATGTCAGCAAACCTTTGGATCCAAGCTATAGATCTCAGTTTCCAAAAATTAAAAAATCTCGATTCAGTAATGCTTTAGAGACTTTGTCCATTGATGAGAGGAGAAAGAAGAATAATAAATCTTTGGTTAGGATGCGTAAAAACTTGAAGCTTCCCAACCATTTGTCTAATTATTCCATTTTGTCGAATAACAATACTCAGATTAGATCAAACATCGAAATTTCAAGAGAAAGGGAGAATAAAAGTGTTACTCATTTAATTAATAAACTCAAAAAAGCACAGATGGTTAAGGCTGGAACTGGAAGCGAGCTTTCTAATTTCACTCCAGGCCGAAATATTCACAGCAAGAAGACTTTGCCAATGGAGTCTAGAATTAATATGATGATCAAGAATGACTCCACAGTTGATTTCCCTCAGTCCTTGATCTCAAAGAGATCTTATGATAAGACTGTAATCTTCTCTGATATTGAAGTTTATTTGAACAAAATTAGGAAGCATGGAAAGATCCAACCTAAAATATACGGAATCTTCAAGTTGCCTATAGGTAAAATTCATGAACCACAAGGAGACTTTGAAGCTTCTTCAGTGAGTTCAATCCTCAGCCAGTGAAATGAAATTGTTCTCGAGCAAAGATATCGCAGAAGGAGGCTTCAGAACCACCAGACAATCACCATTGAATTTCTAGATTGTAAAATTGAAAATTCAATTGAAGAGGAGAAGAAGACTCCGTTCCATTACATCTATACTACTTCTGGCGAAAGAGTCAGCACCTTCACTTCGTGTCTGGATGAGAAGATCTTACTCCTAGTTCATGAAGACAAGACCAGACTTGGTAAAATTTCCTCTTAACCTGTAGTCAAAAAGTTGTTGAAATACCGAGAAATCGAACTTCTTAAAGAGAAACAAGCTAAATATCATACTAAGAACTACCGAGCAGAGATGGAAAAAGCCATGGCTGGCTTTTGTCAAGAGAATCTGCAGAAGTGGAAATCCAACATGCAAAGAATCATTTCTAAGGATAATATCGAGTATAACCTCCAGAAGTAAAGTCAGTTGAATGATAGATGTAGGAATGAAGAAGGAAGGATCAAATACGGTACTAAGCTTATCAAAGCAGTACCATTGAGTGTTTCACCAAAAGCAATCGAGGTAATTTCATATTTTAGGTCTTTTCTAGAATATTTAATGCTAGAAATTTGACATTATCCTTGGAATATAGATGGATTATTCCAAAGATAGCTTTGAAAATCTTAGCTCATCAGAAGAAGAGCTCGCAACTCAGGTAAAATCATTCTTAATCAATCCAAAAATCAAGGATCTCAGTCCTAAGAAGAATATTTCAAGAAGGCACTCAATAAAGAAGACATATTCTCCTGAGAACACTGTTGCTGGGAAATCTATTCATTCCCCATCCAGGAGAATGACTATAAACCAAGACAAGCCTTTTCAGGGCTTTTCTAAGGATCTAGTTCCTGACCTGAATTACAGACAGATCAAGCGGATTGCTAAGAAATACAAAATCCCTATAAACCAGGTCTATGAGCTGATTACTCAGTATAATGGATTAGTCAAAATCAGTGACCAAGATGTCAAGGCCAGCAATGAAGAAGATATGGTCAATTCTCCAAGGTCAGATGACGAAGAAGCCAAGAAGCTTCTTGGCGTCAAGGCTGAGACCTTGAGCAAGTATACTAGGCTTCTTTCAGACAAGCATCCAGATATAATTCCTAAGATTCTGAAAGGAGTCGGGGTTGACATTGGGTCTAAAGACCCAAGGGTCAACCTCCGATCTTTCCTAAACTTAAATAGCATTCTAGATTTTGGTACAGCAAACAAGAGTGAGCTTATCCAGTTTTGGACCAGAATCCTCGATCCTGATAATATTATGAATGTAGAAAAGTTCCAAGTCATGGACTTTTTAGAAAAATTATCTAAAGGCAGGTTCACCAGATCCAATAATGATGAGTTCAGTTATGCGAAGGATGTCTGGAAATTTTTTATCTCAAAGGAAGTTGTAACACCAAAAGGAGACAAGCTTGATATCCATAAACTTCGGGCTAGTCTGGAGAAAGGCAGTATTGACATTAAAATCTTTGGGGATATTTTCAAATCTGGGTTCAATCCTAGCCTCAATAAAGACGATGATTCTTGATCAAGTTAATTATTCAACATCAAAATAACTAAGAGGGGTTTTGGGGTTTTGGGGTTTTGGGGG